TGAGCACACCAGTGCAAGGACCATATTGTAACCCCTGTGATTATTATTAGAGTCCGAGCACTACAGTACTTAGGACCCTACTGGAACTGCTATGTCATTATTTCTTCGTCACAAAGAAACGTCCTAACAGAAACAGGTCCTAAACGTACTCGAAAACGCACAAAACTTGGCACACACATCAGACCCGGCTAAAAGTTTTATAATTAGGGGGAAATACACACCTCAATAGGAGAGTGGCACCACAGCGCCCGTAGTACGCAACACGTTTGACCTAGACCTACGCAATTTGGTAGGTATATGGAGGAGGTCAGGACAAACAAAAAAGTCAGTGACAGCAATACCCTAAACCCAACAGGAAGTCTGCCATTTTGGATTGTTCGTTTGTCCAACCTGAGCTAACTCCTCCTAGTGGGTAAGTCACAGAGTGCTGAAATTTGGGTAGCATGTAGAATACGCCTTGAAGATAAAATGAAGGCATCACATACAGCCTAGCAGCAAATCAGTGGTCCTGTGTGAAACGTACAATATTTAGGGACAAGACAGCCACACTACAGGGTTGAATAAGTCCATGTTGTGTGCAACCAGCACAAGTGTGAAGCGGAAATTTAAAACCGCCTGTGTACATACACTGACAATTGGCCTTTCAATAAGACATGCTGGGTTGAGTAGTTGAATATTTTAAGTTGAAAATGTTGTAAATGCACATATTCTGAAATTCTTTGTGAGAGAAGGAGAAGATTTCATTTGAACACAGTTTAAACATTGCTGTTGAACTTTTTTGTGGAAAAAACATATCAGACCCAAATGATTACTCCAAGCAGAATACACAATTCAGCCACAACATAAAAAAGCACTGACAGGGGGAGTGATTAACTCTGATCATCTTGTTAAACTGCAGTATTTTGATGGGATGCCTTGGATCCTGCCATTTATGTGAATGTTACGTTAACCCATGACATCCACTTAACAACGTTCCAGAGCAACTACACCGCTCCATTGACAATGGCACTGCCTCATGCCAGAGGCCTCCCCCAGCAGGACAGATGCAGCTCGAGGAACATGACCAAGAGCCTGACATTAACCTGGCCAAACTCTTCAGATTCCAGTCTGACTGAACGGCAGGAAGGGGACCTTCACAATATTGAGCATCTGACTGTAATGTTGTGGCCAATCAGTGTATGTTTCTTAAATCATAAGTGGATCTTAAACATTTGAGCTGTGCAGTCTCTAACAATTAAACGACATGGGACTTCAGAAATTAAAGTATGAAGGAGGATACAGCAGATTAAGCGGCCTCAAAATAATTAAAAAGTTTCTAAAAATGAACCAAACACGACCAAGATGCTCTGAGCTTTTTTCATTTGGTGCTTTTATTATAGTTCCCTAAAGTCTAACTTGAGCATCAAACCCAATGTTCTTCTATCACAAAAATCCAATTTTCTTTAATCATAGCAGGGGTTCATAAATTAATAAATCTGCTTCATTCTCGTTTATTAGATGATTCAAATCACAACCGCAGCACCTCCATGTTGGATGGTTTTTAAACTGAAACGCGACCTTCCTTGAATGCATTTCATTACTATTACATTTCATCTGAAGACAGACAGAGGGAGGGTGATGAACTGCTGAAGTAGTGTCTGTAATAGCAAGTCAACAACAAGTAAGAGCAGAGCGGCTGGGGTCCTGCAAGTCAGCTGCAGAACCAAACACGTTCTTGTTTTGAGGCTTTGATGTCATTACATTTCCCCCAATTAGTATGGAACGGCAACAGTAGAAAACATGGCATCCCATCTGTTTGCATAGCCTGTTTGTGTTTGATCAGAGCGAGCTTGCGCAACTGCATGCAAGGGAGGAAGGGGGATATATTGTGTTTTTTGGAAAGTGGTGCAGAAAAATCCTCATTTATGGGACTAAAAAGTATTCAATATGCTGCGTTGTGCTTCTAATCTCTGGAGGGGATTTTACATCCTGTGTGGGTAAGATGGCAGTTGATTAGGTTTGTCCTTTACGGGCCTCCTGGCAGCCTCAGTACTGAACAAATGAGTAAGGGTTCATACTTTAAACAAATGAAAGGACAAATCAAGCAGACCCAAGTCTGAAATCTAATACAGTGTCTTTCAGTGGTGAGAAACTTGACTGCACTACAATTATTAATCCTCTTAACAAGCTGAATGTAAAGTGGAGCCCAGAGGAGCCAGCCGCAGCCTTATCTATGACAAACGGCTGAGCTTCCTAATTGCACTGAGAGATCTGACAGGATAAATTTATACCAGAAACGTGACTCATCTGACATGCAGGCAGGAGTGAGAGGACAGAGACAAGCTAGAGTGTCAATTCTGGTTTAAAAAAATCATTTCTGCCTACTATAGATCCAGAAATATGCAGTACATTAATATAATAATCACTAAGAATCATGAGGTCAACAAGTGGCTTTATTTTGGGTCAACTTTACCCAGGAACCATTGCAAAAAAAAAACAAACACCCAGTGCTACTATTCCCTTATGTTGTGGAAAATTATTCAGAAAATCTGAAAAAATGAAATTGGTAATGGCACAGCGCAGAAATACTTTACAAAAAAGCATACTTATACAAGTCCTGTCTTTAAGGTTATACTTAATGACCCCTTTCAGAATTATATATTGTTTATTATTGGATTATAATTAATGATATATTAATGTGTAAGCATCTCTTAAAAGTTGGCAAAGGTAGAGCTAATTTGAACTCCTGCCAACTACCTAAATCTATGATTATGTGCCATAATTTCTTGGTTAATTATGTTTGAATTTAACAATTTACCTCTTAAATGTAGTGAAGTAAAAGTACACAGGAGCATAAATGCTTGTAAAGTATCGAAACGTCCAAATCCTCCAATCTGTTACTGGTTGTTAATAATACTTGCACCTTCTGCAAGCGTATGTGCATTTTAACAATAATTTGCAACAGTTTTAATATTAAACTTAAGCTTGCTGTGTCTAACACTAAGCCAGAATTACAATGTTCTTGTTAGTTTTGTACATAAAGGTAAACAGTCCAACAGCAACGTTAAAAAAATAAAATAAAAATAGCATTAACACTGGACCAGAACAAAAGCTTATCCAGTGAATACTGACACAAAATTGGATCAGTTTTGACTCAGTGAATTTAAGGGTGCGTGTATGTTGGAAGTGACAAAACACAGCGCGCCACATTAAGAAATTGTGCAACAGGAGTGTAATCTCCTCAGTGGTGTAGATAATAAGATGTGATAACAGGATTAAGAGGAAATTACCTCTGATGTGAAAAGATCTTATGCGTGAATACGTGTTCACTGACAACAGACGGCAAGATTAGACTGTCAGATTTAGGTGAAAACAGAAGCCCAACAAGTCTCATTAAAATATAACAACAAACACAAGAGGTTCCCTGCATGAGAACGGCCTCCTGTAAATCACATCCAGCTGGCCGCGGTGATTAGCTGAGGGTGTTACAGTCGTTTAAGAAGGACAGACAGTTTGGGATAGATTCCATTAAAGGAGCATCTCTCTCTTATACTGTCCCCCAGATTGGCTGTGTGTCAGCCAACAAGGTGAAAGCAAGGAGAGAGCAGCCATCTCTGATCTTTTTATCTGGCAGCGAGTGATGGCACAATGATTTGACCTCATTCACAGAGGAAAGATGGTGTTGCCAAGATTTCAGTATCTGCTAACGACACGGCAAACTGAACAATTAAGGGCACACGACTGCAGGAAAAACTCGTGCTAAGGCGAGATTCTCAGTTTGTCTGAACTCCCGCTGGTATTGCCACCTCCCACACAACCCCCACCTGCTTTGCCCTGGAGCCTTATCAGGATGCAGCAAGCATCTTCTGCAGGATTTCTGTCACTGGCAGGCTGCTCTCCTGTATCCTGACCCTCCCTGCAATCTTCTGAGTCGCACACTGTCGCTCAGACAAAGACACAAATGCCAGCAGGAAATGAACAGCATCATATTTTATTCCTTGATTAATTTGTCTTCTTGGCAGGTACAACAGAAAATAATAAAACCATCAGGGGGCAAAATCACGTTTCAGACATTCAAAACAGGGTAAAAAAAAAATAAAAATGTCATCAGATGTTGTAGCTGACTCTCGGAGGCTTTAACACTTTTATATTAATACTTGGTTACCAGCTGAGGTTTCTCCTCTCTGAATAAAAAAAAAAAAATGAATACAGGCTCTCATTTGATGAACAATGTTGATGAGTGACTTCCTATTAAAAGAAATCATGAAAAAATGATGAGGCAAAAGTAAACTTCTTGTCCTGACATAACCCTGGATGTCTGGTGGAGGTGGACTGATGTGCAGCAGACCAAGAGACAAACATGATTTTTGAGGCAGACCATGTTTAAGGTCGTATAACTGGGCTCTAATATTCACAGAGTCATGCATCACCAGTCACTTTTCTAAGTGTAGCAGTTGGCAGCACCAGATGTACAGTAGAATAAGAGAGAAGTCGCCCAGAATGTGCGTCTGCTGGCTGACTGACAATTTCGATAAAACTTGTATTGGCTTTGCAGGATATTTCTCATCCATCCTTTTGTCATACAGCAGCTGAAACTGTAATTACATTTCAAGAGCGGGGCGCGCCAAAATACCAATGTTGTGGCTTGCAGCTGTTCAACTGCAGCACAAATGAATGGCTGACGTAGATAAGCAATATCTGGTTTAATACCACACTCCTGCCCCCAAACCGTTTTTCTTAATGCTGATTTAATTAAGCACAAATAAGAAAATGTTATATGAAGCAAAACACAAGATAACATGTTGAGTGGAGAAAAATAGAGATAGCAAATGCCTTGCATGAAGTGCAGAATGCTTAATCAGATTTTCTGAGAGTTACTTGTGATTAAAAACGAACATCTGCACAGTATCTGGAGGTACAAAATACATCCCTTTGCTTTTGTTTGATCATTCAACCAATTGGACAAATAAAGGCTTCAAAAAGGAAATCCACTGATAAGAATAAAACTTCAGAAGACAAAACAGTTTTCCAAAATGATATTTACATTTTATTTATGCTTTGATAACTAAATAGACCAGCCTATTACCTGGAAGATGGAGACAGGATTATCAGGCAATACTGAGTATGTTTTAACATGAAAGAAAAAAACAACTGAAAAACAGTTGGATCAACACGATATTAATATAATGACAATATATCAAGAAGAATAATACGTTTTTTCTTTTACATCACCTCTACATACTGGCGGTATTGTGCTTTGATAAGACTTTTGCAACTGGAACACATACAGAAAAAATTTAACAGCCCCACAAAACTCCAAGGATTTCAGCAATCAACTCTCCTAGAAAAAAAAAAAAAAAAATCATCACCTCACCTCATCCCACAGCTGAGATAAGAGTAAATGAAGCTGAATGAAGACTCTTCGACTCGTTGGGCACATGTGAAAATTCAAATTAACAAAGAAATAAAAAAAATAATAAAAAAAGAAGGATAAGAAATGAAATTAGGTGCAGCTCATCCATTTGCACAATCAACAAACACTCACACCATACCTGCTCGGGTGCTAATGTTAACACCCGAGTACACATGTGAGGGTTCACACGTGCTGACAATCTCTGTCCATGCACACACACAGAAATATATGGGATGTATCATTAGAACATTTTCTTTTCCTGTATATTACTGAGGCAAACTTGGTAATTAGAAAATAATTAGAAAATATGAGAATATATGTATATATATATCGATATACATATTAAATCAATCAAAAATTAGAAATGACATGAGAAACATGCACTGGACAAATACACGCATGCATTTACATGATGACACCTGAAATCTTCACCAGTACATTTTTCAAAGGTAGATGATGCATCTCTACCACCACCAGGACCCCTCTGAATATTTCCCTGCACACTTGACTACAGTCACTGTGAACAAAGATACATTCTCATACAAACTACACAGAGTCCAGATGTTGTTTTATGAAGCACTGCAACAGTTACAGATGTTGCTACATGTACAGTGGAGTAAGCAGTATGAATATTTGCCACACTAGCAGGCCGGTGTTAAAACCATCATGTGTTGCTGTGTTATATAAAGGCATGAGGGCTCTTTTTTCTGATCTTCTGTCTATGGTGAGATAACTGTACATTTTCCCTTATTTGTCTTTGCATTTTTTTTTTTTTCTGTTTGTCTTTTGAAAGAAAGGTCCGTGTTGGCAAGGTTTCTCCATGAGCATCCTTTTGCGGCAGTATTCCAGAGGGAAACACAGAAAGTTTAGAGTGCTGCATGAAATGTTCTCCGGGGAAAAAAAACAACAAAAAAAAACAGATTTTTATACATTTAGGGTTTCCTCTTCACTTGGCCTTGGGTGAAAATTCTTTGTCGTGTTTGATTTGTCTGTTGTCCTCAGTTTTTTTTTAATGTAAAAAGTGCCTCTGTTAGATTTATTATCAGTTCCTCACCCTCCCTGCGGTGGATAGTTCTAGTTGTATGGTTGGCTTTGGTTGCATAACGCGCACTTTGATGCTTCACCCGGGTCTGTTCAGCAAGTGAAGTCTTCAAAGTTACCCTGGCCCGGATGATGAGGTAGCATGTTGCCAGGATATGTCGATGGTGTACGCAGGTTCTCACAAGGAGCCTAACAGAGAAACGCAAAAAGGGAGAGGGTGAAAAGACAGGTAAGATAAAGTAGAGAGGAAGATAAAGACAGAGGAGAGGAATGATCAGCAGCAGAGGAGGCACTGAAATAGAGGAAGAAAAACTTGAAAAACCTCATAAACATGCTCTTAGAAAAACATGACATGAGCAACAAGCTGGGCTTGGAGGGGAGATGAAATAGATTCCAACGGAATACCCTGAAAATGATGAAAATAATGAAGGTGGATGGAAAGAGACGACTACCAAGTAAGCCAGGAAAGCAGATCAGAGGAGGAGCAGATCTTCCTCTCTTTCTCTGCCTGGGCTCTGACTTACAATTAAAGTGAACTGGCTTCATTTACACTTGGAAATAAGTGAGCTGTCACATCTTCCAAAGCTCTAATTCCGGCCTGTCCCTGCTGGTGCTGTCCCCCAGCCTTGATTAAATTCAAGCCACTTTCCGCTCTTCTACTTCTCTCTCTCTCTCAATTTTCTCTCCTTCTCATCCCAATCACTTTTTCGCTATCGTGTCTCTCAAGTCTTTCCCTCCCTGGCTTTCTCCATCTCTGTCTCTACATGCTCTCGTTTGCTCCTCCTCCCACCGCCGCCGCTGTTTTATCCTCCTTTGGCCTGGCTGCAGTTGAGACCAGTGAAGACAAAGGAGAGAGTGTGCCCCTGTCAAAGCAATGTAGTGTGACACAGTGAAAGTACTTAGCAGCAGCCTACTGACATGGCGTTTCACATCATCCAGGCTCAGCACAGCTCCCCGGTCATTGTTGTTGCGGCCTTTGTGTTTCTTCTTCATGCATCGGCACAGCTTGTATTTGATCACCTGAAAGTAAACGAGGATACCCATTACTGACCTTCTGGGACCAAAAGACAACATTCACAATGTTTTTGGTGTTTTTTTTGGTTTCTTGAGATCATCCAGATACTCTCTTCTGTTTTGTGTTTTCATAGCTCAAGCCCACACACTTGGGAGGTTGAAGGAAAAGTCAAGCTGGAATACAAATGAGATTGATTTTATGTATCAAGAAATGTGCTTCTCCATCGATCGTGCACATGAGCAGGTGCTGCTTTTTCCTGTCCAACTTACGCACTCACATGTCCAATCAAGGACTAACAGACACACAAAAACACCACTCAGCTTTGCTTCGAGAGGAGAAAGCTTAGAGGAAGCACGCAGCACAGCGCTACTCTAATGAGAATGGACAGAGACATCCTGACTAATCTAAAATATAATACATCCAAAATGTTAATGTATTCAGCGTTGCTGCTGCTAAAATGTCTGCGCAGGGTTGTGAGGGACAGAGAGTCCGTCATGCTCGCTAAAACACGTCCTTGTGCGGATGGTAACATTGTCTGGAAAACTAAATTTTGTGAGCAAGTAATTCCATAATGGTAGCACAAATTATCATAAAAACTACATTGCACTGGATGTTTTATCTAAGAGAGATGGTCCTGGTGATGACAGGGGATGTTTTACCTCATATAGATAGTCAAAGAGCTCAAGAACGGTGAGGATGCTGGCTCCAATGAAGAGACCCATCTGACCTCCGATATCACCTGAAAAGACAGAAATCAAAGCACAAATTGTACCTTAATACATAACGGAGATCATCTCGGTGCATTTATATGTAACAGAGGTCAGCGCTGAAACACTCTTTTTAAAAAATCTTTATTTACATCTGACAGGTGAGAAATGCAACAGAAATCATACAGATGTTTGCAAATATACCTCTTGAAAAGCTAGATTAAAGAGACAGTTTTGTCTCTTCTGGGACCTGAGCACCTATTATAAAAATGCATGCACTGGCGTTACTGTCACTTTGGATAAAAAGCATCTGTCATGGTGCATACTGTATGTTATCTGTTCCCAAGCAAACACTTGACAGCCGTTTCCTTACCCAGAAGGCCTGCCAATTCGTAAGCTTTCTTTTGTTCAATGGTTTCGTAGTTCAGCGCTTCAAAGTAGATATCCAAAACCAGAATGTTATCACTGTAAACACAGAGGAAAGAAGACAATCTCCAGTCACATATTCAAATGTCTCCGTTTGCATTTTGTACACGTTTCTATCAGAGCATCCTCAGGCAGAGAAAATAGCTGGTGAGTCTGCTACTTCCTGCAGATAACAGAGCAGATGCGTCAAGTTGAGCAAATAACCTGCCACCACTAACTTACTAATTTCCCCTAGGTGGGCCTGGTCATTGAGGAATACAAGGAAATGATGACAGCTGTTTGATTTCAGACTGTGTTAATGTCGAAAACTCAGGACTTCAGCAGAAAGGAAAAGAAAAGGGGATTAGTTTAAAGGCCCAGGGCAAGACAGACTATTATTTTGATTCTTGAATATCCTCTCTGTGGGCGAAGTCAGACTTCACACCCCACTGGAGTCAAGATCAAAACCCCAACTCAACTTTGTAGTTTCTTTTTTTTTTTCCATTCTTGGTTCTCCGTTTTATTACTGAAATTTAAGTCAAGTCAAGTGATGATCTGTCAGTGCTGAAAGAAACTCGGTCAAAGCTGAGGGCTGACTTTAAATGGCAAAATGCAAATTACAGCTGGTAATGTGGAAATGGAGACGTACTAATAGAAAATGAACGCACAACATTGTCTCGTTTCATGTGAATCGTGGACGATGAATTTCACCTCCTTTAATTTGACGCACTGACTTTTCTAAAAGCACATAAAATATCCATAGGAAATATTATTATTATATGGACAATTGTCAAACATAATTTTAGAATTAGAAAAAGAATATGAACAATGACTCTGCTCCATGTAGTGTCAGAGAAAGGATCTGGCTCACTGAGAGGAAATGGAACTTTCAAGTCAAACCGCAAACGTTTGCTTGAAATACAAAAATATGATGTTGTTAAGTACAGTTGAAACCCAAAGTTTACATACACTGTATAAAAAGACACATCCTTTTTTTTCTCACTGTCTGACATAAAAATCAGACTAAACTTTTCCTGTTTCAGGTCAGTTAGGATTACTACAATTATTTCTATTTGCTAAATACCAGAATAATGTGTGAGAGAGAATGTTTTAGAGAATTTTTTATTACTTTCTTCAAAGTCAGAAGTTTACATACACTAACATTACAATGCCTTCAAGCTATTTGGAAAAGCCCAGATGATGATGTCATGGCTTTGGAAGCCTTTGATAGGTTAATTGACAACATTTGAGTTAACTGGAGGTACACCTGTGGATGTATTTTAAGGCACACTTCAACACACTGCTTCTTTTTGTGACAACATGGAAAATGTAAAGAAATCAGCCAAGATACCACAAAGAGAATTGTGGATCTCCACAAGTCTAGTTCGTTCTTGGGTACAATTTCCAGATACCTGAAGGTTCCACGTTCATCTGTTCAAACAATTATGCGCAAGTACAAACACCATGGGAATGTCCAGCCATCATAGCGCTCAGGAAGGAGACGGGTTCTGTGTCCCAAAAATGAACACGTTTTGGTGTGTGAAATGTGCATATCAACCCCAGAACAAAAAGACCTTGTGAAGATGATGTTGACTGAAGCTGGTAAGAGAGTGTCATTATTCACAGTGAAACGAGTCCTGTACCAACATGGGCTGAAAGGCTACTCAGAGAGGAAGAAGCCATTACTCCAAAAGCAACATTAAAAAGCCAGATTACAGACCTTAATTTTTTGAGACATGGCCTGTAGTCTGATGAAACTAAAACTGAACTGTTTGGTCATAGTGACCATCGTTACATTTGGGGGAAGAAAAATTCAATTCAATTCAATTTTATTTGTATAGCGCATATTTACAACAACAAGTCATCTCATAGCGCTTCACAAAGGCAGAAACACCCAGCAATCCAAAACATTTGGATTCCCTATAAGTTTCAGCAGTCTGCAAGCAGTCTGCAATAGTGGGAAGGAACCGAAAACCCCCACAGGGGAAAAAAACCAGGTATGGTTTGACCATTAAGCCTCGGACAGAACCAGGCTCAGGGAGGGACGGCCATCTGCCTTGACCCGTTGGGTGGATGTAGGATGAATTATAAAATTTAGTGTACAGTTAAACAAGTTATTAGAAGTTATTGTCCTTTTGTTCCTCCATTTCAAATGGACCAATGAAATATTCCATTTCGTGGTTGGTTGGAGGTAACAGGAGGCATCATGGTGGGGGCAGCAGGATGCAGAAGGTGAAAAAGGGGGAAACTTGCAAGCCTGAGAACATCATCCCAACTGTGAAGTACGGGGGTGGCAGCATCATGTCTTGGGAGTGTTTTGCTGCAGGAAGGACTGGTGCACTTCACAAAACAGATGATCATGAGGAAACAACATTATGTGGAAATATTGAAGTAACCTCTTAAGACATCAGCCAGGAAGTTAAAGCTTGGGCACAAATGGGTCTCCCAATGAACACTGACCCTAAGCATATGCCAAATTAGTTACAAAGTGGCTCAAGGACAATATAGTCAATGTTTTGGAGTGGCCATCACAAAGCCATTAATCCCATAGAAAATTTGCAGGCAGAACTGAAAATGCATGTGTGATCAAGGCAGCCAACAAACTGGACTGAGTTACAACAGTTCTGTCAGAAGGAACGGACCAGACTTCCAGCAAACTATTGTGAGAGGCTTGTGGAAGGAAACCCAAAACATTTGACCCAAGTTATACAGTTTAAAGGCAATGCTACCAAATACTAAGGACATGTATGTAAACTTCTGACTTTGAAGAAAGTAATAAAAAAAATCCTCTAAAAAAATTCTCTCTCTCATTATTCTGGCATTTAGTAAATAGGAATAATTGTAGTAATCCAAACAGACCTAAAACAGGAAAAGTTTAGTCTGATTTAATGCAAGACAGTGGAAAAAAAAGGTTGTAGATCTTTTTGTACAGTGTATGTAAACTTCTGGTTTCAACTGTATATATGTATTCATTATTCTGACACTATCACATATAACTCCAATTGCAAGTCAGCGGGCAGTGTTTCTATTTATTTACTTACATTTCTAAGTGAAGAACTAGGATATTTTCAAAGTGTGCATCACTTCATTGTATTGCAGTTGAAGTTGTATGGACAGATGTTGTTTCTCCAGCTTTTTATTTTCACCTGAAGCCATTCTGAATTGGATCAAGGTTTTAGAGCATCAGCTTTTAGAAGTTGTGGCACTTATTTCTTTTTGTTGAGTCGTGGCCACAGCAGCTGAGGCCCAAAGTTTTCTAGTAGAGAGCACATTTGTCAGATTTCCCGCTGAAGCAGCGTCACAGCAATGGAGGCAATTACATCAGATCAGTCCTAAATGCTTTTGGAACAGCTAGTATATAGAATATGGTTTGAACATTAAGCCGTGTCATTTTCATACTTTCATTCTGTTTTTAAATGTGATTCATGACTGGCACAAAAACTTGCCATCATCAGCAGCTTCAGGAACATCTTCATTTTCAGTGAAAGTACTTTAAAAATGAACCAATATCAAAGTGCAGGTTTAAATTACACCTGCAAGTAAAGCTGGAAACAGTTACAACATTCATATATTGCATTTATACATCACATTTAGCTCCTTTCCGTGTTTATTCATTACTTTCAGTTAATTATTCTAATAATTTATCTATCAGTGTTTCTTTTGTGCTCATTTGTTTATCCATTACTTTTTACTATTTAAACTTTTGTTATGTTTAAATATTTATTTCATTGATTCACCTCTCTGTTGCTGACTGATTTTTATGGACACTCAAGCACAACATGGTGTAAAAAGGCTGATTCAATGAGTGAAGATGCATTTTAAATTACATATTTTGATTTTTTTCAGTTTCTTTGTGCTACTCAAGAGCTACCTTCCAGCTGCATTCTGAGTGTGTCAACTACATTATAAAAGGATTTATCATAAATCCATTTTATCAGGTAGTGTCACTGAGACTGAGCTCTTTATTCCATCCTCTACCACTTGTACCTACACCTGCTCCCGTACCCTCTGTACCGCGGGGGGCAACCCTGGTCGAGGGTCACTGATCTGGTTGAGTTGTGTCTTGTTATTACTGACATCCCTGGGTATTTTTCCTGATTTGTAGGCCTCCCGTGTGGAGTGTCATTCTGAAGCTGATGCTGCCTCTCTGTCAGATGTTCTCACCGCTTAGTGAGTAACTTGAAAAACATCTGAACCGAGCTGCTGTCAAACAGCGGATTAAGCTAAGTGTCTAACTGTCTGTCTGTTTGTGGTTCCCAGCAGAAAGAAAGTCCACTGTCACAGACTTCAGTTTCACACCACTAAACACTGTGCAGCCGGTATACCCCAACACTTCAGCTAATGTTCATCTGACTGACAACACTTGGAAATATGGCCAGTCAAAAAAAAAAAAAAATGAACTGGATGGATTCACATCTTTCCACGGGGAATTAAAATAACTTTCTGAAGGGAGAAGTGAAAGGTTTTTACAGCACTCTGGCTACATATGGTGTAATTATCTTGTCCTCAACTGCTCTGCTGGGAATGATAGATAAAAGATTCAACTAATATTGTACCCTCTCCTCATTTCCTTTAACTACTTTTGATCTTTTCAGTATATTTGGCCAAGAGACACTCAATACTTAGCTCATTAATCAAGTTAAGCTCTGACTGTGAGCTCTTTATTATATTTTCCCACCTAAATAAAAAAAAAATCTGGGTTAAAGAAAGTGAATGGGGAGCGATTGTCACTGAGGAGCCTTTAGGCAAGTCAGTTAAAGAGTGAGTCAAAACAAAACACATAAATTGTGTTTTACAATTAACTGAGGAGGCAATTTAACTTGTTTGGTGGCAATTTTATTATCTTTACGGGTAACTGACATAGATGACGTGACCTTGCATCAGGAGATTTACGGCGCTGCTTTAATGCTGTTTGTTTCCTAAAGTGGTTTAATCCATTTAATGCAATGGTAAAGATCGGGCTTTTGTCCTAATCTCTCACAATCAAGATAGCAAGCTATATTTGCATCTTGTCGGCTGTGAATGGCAAAACAATCACAGAGAAGGAAAGCCACCACAGAGGAGAGGGAACTAGAATTAGGCCATAATACGAGGGAGCCACAGCATGTCACATTCTGAGTACAAATTTGGTTTTGCACGCCTGGAGAAACTTGCTTCGGCTCTCACAATGTTTTCACTAGGCTTTTGCAAGTTTTTCTATCTTCATTCAGTGACCTAAGACCACATTTCTAAATTACGAACGTATCGCCTCATGAGAAACAGTGCTAGAGTGTGAAGCCTTATGTAATGCAGGCGAGACAGAAGATGATGTCCGTTGCATGTTTTTTTTCCTTTTTTTTCTTCATTATATAATGGCTTTTGGTAAAACGTAACTCCTTTCTGAAAAATTCTTTTGGATATATTCTCACAAAAACCTTGAGCTAGATGCAAGACATGGAACATTTTCTTTTGTAGCAGACTTTGTCGAGTTTGAGACAGAAGACAAAGCTTTGTGTTTGCAGTGTAAAATTGTAAGAAGTGATGTTCATGTCTGACAAATGTTTTACTGTTGCAACAGTATTTTTGGTGCCTTTTAAGTTCATGTGGGCAAAACATAATAACTAACTGACAAAGTTCATCAAAATAACTGCATTTTTTGAGGGGAGAAATGTTTGAAAAATGCAAAAAATCATAGCAAAGGCAAGTGCAGCTGATACATAAAGTAGTGTTGGGTGATATGTTAACACAATGTGTAAAACAATAACACAACATGATCATAACATCACTTTATAACTACGCTAAAAGTTGATAAATGACATCGAATGCCCCCCAAAAACTTCTGAAAGGCACTTATTATAAATGACGAATGGGTGATGAGTTTAATTTTGAGGTGCTTCAAGTGTAACAGCTCAGTCTGCAGTAAAAGATTGGTTGCAATGAAGAGCATCAGTGTAAAAATACAAAAAAAAAAAATTAAAAATGAGAAAAGCAGCTCTGAAAAATCCAAGCTGGTTTCGGAGAAGTAAAACATCAAAAAAATGACTCACGCTATGTACTGCTCTGTCTTGTTGAATTTCTTGGCGAGGTACTTGGCTGACGCTTTGCTGGGTATCTTGACGAAGGACAGCTCTTTACCGTAGCGTGTCAGGTTGCATGGCGTCTCGCACACGCAGTAGTCATTGTCTCTCTCGACAAGGAAGTCTGAAAAATGAAGCAGACACACGGAGAGGGAGGAGGGAGGCAGAGAAACAGATAAAGATTGAAATAAAGAAGACACGGGGACAGACAGATTTATCGTCACCGCAGGACGACAAACAAAATACCCGCTGAGTGAGAGGCATCAGAGAGAACTTGTGAAAAGATGCCGTGAGGAGCGACCCTCGACACCCCAACAAGAAATACACGAGATATAAGACACATGCCGACAGAGTCAGAGCGACAGCAGCAGCCAGAGGCCGACACGTGAGCCGGTGTCATGAGAGACTGTGAGATTGTGAGTCAGTAAGAAAACAAGCAAACAGACATGAAAGGCCTGAGAGGTATCAGTTGATGGAGAGACAGGGGAGTGTGAAAAGAAGAGCCCCAGTGCCAGGCCTGAGGTTTTACTATTGGCTACCACCAGGCTGAAGGAACACTATTATCTGTTATCTGCTTGGATCAGGAGCTCTGAACAGCAGGACATACACACTAAACAGTGTACACACAGACACACATGTGCAAACACGCAAGCAGCATGCTGGTTTATCTCCTCACCCAGGGCAGGATCTGCACACTCCTTGTACTGCTCCGGGGTGCAGTATGGGGCATCTCCTAAGGACAGGCAGAAGAAACACAATGTTCTCAGTCTGAGCAAAGACAGGGAGAAAGCAGGTTGCAAAGAAAACTGGGCTAATAATTAATTTTGTTTCTTCATTACTGCCCTTACCACAATTGGATATTCATCATAAATTTAATTACATCTTATAATTGATTTGATTATACTGTCTACTTTTGCTGCCTCATAACTGCTTTCACGTCACCCTTGTTTCCATCTGTCTGTCTGTGGCAGCTGAACCGCACCTCTGTCACTCTATGAGGACAACCCTGGAACAAGACATGCTGTGAATGTAGAGGGAATTATTTATTTTTTTATTTGGTTGGTACTCTTTAAAAATCACTCTAATGAGAAGGAGATTGGAGAGATGCACGGGAGCAGAGCACAGTCCACGGGGTGGGGGGGCAGGAGGTTTTAAACAGGCGTGTTCCCTGTAGACTCACATTAATCAACTGCACAATCACTTGGAGATAGCAGCTAATCCTGATTATCACACAGACAGATTGTCAGGCCATCTATGTGAAAGAGACATTAACAATTATTAGACAGGTGAGTGAGGGGTAACGGAGGCCAAATCCGAATGCTTCCTCTGTGCCAAACTCCTTTTCAATTTGCCATTTGAGATGCCACACAGTGATTAAATGTAGGCGGTAGACAGCCAATGCCAGCTGTAATCACTGCACAAACACAAAGTGAAAACAGTCGAGTTTTCCGATCCACTGGAGTGTGAAAGTATCTGATTTTCTGCAGTCGCTCGCAAAAAGCTGTTTGTTCCTCGAGAATAGTTTTTGCCACTGCAGATCCAAATCAAAGTATTTCCGAAGAGATTACAAGACCAGTCACTCCAGCACTTCACATTTTTATAAATGAATGTAGCTTTATCTGTATCCAGCAGTGACGTTCCCCCTCTGGTGCCTACCAGGCATGTGGACCATCCTGCAGTTGCAGTTCTCCACCAGGTATCGCGTCTCACAGTCGATCCGGCAGGCCGTGATGCTGTAACTGTTGAAGAATTCGGAGTCCATCGGCGTGGCTTTGCAGTCCCCCCACGGCGGAGGCAGGTACGTCAGCTGAAAGACAGGCAGGACCACTTTAGTAATAAAAATTGCTGTCTGTTGAGCATGCTGTCGTGCAGCTTGTTAATGCAGTAGTTTGACCTTGTACTTTCTGTCAATATGATGACAAACTTGTTACTCTGTCTATATGAGAGGCCATAACACGTTTACTGTATTTGGCACAGATGATGAATCTCGTTCAAACTCCACAGTGAATACATGTGTATAACGGTGGTTGTCGTGGGAGCCTCTCTCCTACGCTTCTCCTATTCCGAGTCTCCCTCTGTGTTTTCATTGTACTGCCCACTCCTATGCAGGAACTGAATAGTATCAGCTGTGTAGAAGAGCTGTGATGTCGTGAGAGTTTCTCTCTAAAGAGCTTCACTGTAGGACAAAACATCATGTTTTCTGTGTTGATCCACAAATGTACACTTTCCTTCACATCTGTGCATATCTGTTCTAGACCCAAGAGTCTAACACAGACAGACTCTCTCCTGTGATCTTCTGTCTGTCCTTGCTCTTGTGCTGTGCTATTACTCTGCACATTTTCATGCTTGCGCTCAACATGTAATTGCATATTTTTCTTTGCAAATGTAACAAATGTGCATGTTCCATTATTATATACTGAAAAATGCACAGTCCATCTACTATCAGCCTGTCATATTCCTGAAAATTTTACCGCTTTAACATCTCTGAGCAACTCTTTACCGAGCAATTTCCCCACAGGGAATAAGTAATTCTTATTCTGATTATACAGTGTAGTCTGTACTATGCATATATTACACAGATTTATTTTTTAAAAACTAATATTGCATGCTAATAAGCCACAACATTAAAACCCCTAACAGCATAAGTGAATAACAATGATCCTACCATTACAATACAGTGTTCTACTGGGAAACCTTGAGTCCTGGCGTTTGTGTGGATGCAACGAGACAAATACCACCTATCTAAACAATGTTCCAGACCAAGCCCACCCTTCATGGTAACGGCATTCCCCAGTGCCAGGACAATGCCACACCACAAAAACTAATCAGGAATCACTCAAGGAACACGACAAAGAGCGCAAGATGTTAAACTGGCCTGCAAAAGAGTATCTGTGACATGTGCTGAAAGATCCTGGGCCCCGACCCGCAACCCACATAACCCGAAGGATCCACGTCCAACGACCCAGTGCCAGACAGATCCGGAGACCAGCAGAGGTCCTGTGTCCATGTCCTGGAGGGTCATAGCTGTTTTGGCAACACAAGTGGGATCCACAGTTTGAGGCAGGTGGCTTTAATGTTGTGGCATGTTAGTGTAAAAGTAGTTTTTATCTTTTTTGAATACCCGTCATGTTTAATTTAATAACTATTTTTTCACTCCCATGAGATCCTATTTTCTACATTAACTGTTTTCTATCTTAAGTTCCAGAAAATAGGAAAAAAAAATGTCAATCACAATTTCCCCTAAAGTCCAATTTGGCATCTTCATATTCCTTGTTTTATACAACCAACAGACCAAGTCACAGAGGGATTGAGTTTGCCATAAAATTTTTTTTTAAAAAAAGCAGAAAATATTCCCATTTGAGGAGCTGACACTTCTCTGCTTCTCCACACTACTTTGTTTGGACCAGTTTAGACCACTTAAATAACAGAAGGGAAAAATCTGCTGCATTAAATGAAATAGGAAGCCATTAAAAGCCCTTGTCTGTTTCCGTCTCATCAGTTCAAACGGTGCATCACTGAGTACTCACACAGCAATAAATTAAAGGCCACTGTTGTGATTTAGGGACTTGGATTTTACAATTTGTACTAAAGTGCAAGAGGCAGTCACGGGTGTCACACACTGGATTTGGTTACTAATAACCCAATGTGACGCTTTAACATGCGCGTACAGTATTCACACGCAGACACATACAGTACAACACACACAAGAAAGCCAGATAGCTGCAACTAAAATCTAATCGGGAGACGATAATGATTCTTTGGCTTAATTTCTACACCAAGGACATTTCCCAAAGTCAAGCAGGACATAAAACCCATCCGAGCTGGGCAAAGTGTGATAATCAATAATAGGTGCATGTGTATTTATTCACCTCATCACATGGACAAGAGCTATTGAAGGGGATATATGACTTGCTAATGGCTCTCCTATGCACAGACATCTGCTATTTAGATTTCTCTGCATTTTTCAAAGGCTCTACTCAGTCTTCCTTAACCACATTTAGGCTACATTACTTCCCACTGAGTAGATTCCTGCAAGAGCGTATATCTGTAAGTGTGGACGAAAGCGAATCTGACATGAAAGATTTCTGGACATTTCAGTGTGCTGTTAGCTATTTAATGACCATGAAGAAGAAAACAAATCATGTTAAGATTGTGACCTAAATCCCCCCTTCATTAACTGAGGGGGAGACAGCAAACCAAACGTATAAAGACGGGAGTCAGTACAGCCAGGCTGAATGGACAGTGAAAGAGGAGGATGGAGAAATTTTGGAGGGGAAACATTTTGAAGATTTAGCTTTTTATGTCAAGTAGGGAGGGATATTGCAGATTTTTCTTTTGTGGGATCATTGTGAGTGACAGTTTGGCTGGCTGAGAAGTCCCAGACAGCTTTACACTACAGGACTGCTGAAGCAGGGAGTTGAACGAGTGTGAGTAAACTGCATTAGATTAATGAAGAGTGAGTCTGCCAGACAATGGAATATATATATATATATAGAGAGAAGCAAGAGGAGGAGCGAGAGTGGAGAAACATATTAAAGAGAGAGGGAATTGTATTAGAGGAATTGTAATGACTGTTGGAGAGGAAAAAAAAGTAATGGAGCTGGTGAGAAATAGAGAAAAACAAAGAAGGACACTCTCCTGCAGACGCGACATTGGCAGCATGCAAAATCCAGCAGCAGCCTGCCGACACCGGAATGCACTCACTGGTAGTGTGAACGTGGAAGGACTGAGATCACTCCCAAATCCACCTCTTTCTCTCCTCTATTCATTATGCATGGTTCTGTAGCATATTAGGGGCCAGAGTATATGATTTGTCTGGCTGCTTGCTGGCCATCGCGCCCACAGAATTATTCACAGTTCAGAGGAATAACCTACATTCACTTCATTTCACTCCCACAAGCTGACTGGGGGGAAAGTTTGTGCTCTTTATCTATGCTAAGGAACCATATGGGTCACTATTAGGGCTGTAAAGGTCTCCAAGGGGCCCACAAACATGAACAGTTCTTTCAGCTGCACTGTGGCATTTGTGGCTAAGTGGTAAAAGTCTTTCCAGTCAACAAAAAACTGCCTTTTTTACCCTTCGCAATATTAAAAGAGAATAAAAACCGTCCATCCTTTACGGATGGGTTCATGGCAAACTTTCTGCCTTCTCGGTGAAAAAGGCAAAATTATGTTTTTTAACATCTTTTGTGTGAAAGAAGAATAGCATTTGTCCTTCAAAACACAGCATAGTGCGCATAGTGCAGTGCTTACCTTGTAGGAAGCCTCATTTCAACTCCCTGGAGTCCCACAAAAGCCTTGAACAGAACCAGTGACAAAGTAACTCTCCTTGGTGGCTCAATCACTGAGCCTTATGTACCGTGAGATCTGTCCTGTGCTTTTAATTTCAGTTTTCAGTTCATGAATTACTTGTTCTATGAACTGTTTTTCTGTCAGCTTCACAAGCCATGTTGTTGTTAGTACACAGCACACAATGTGTGCTCACTTTGAGACCTCTGTAACAGCCAGAAAACTAAAAACTGCCATCAAAAAGAGGTGAAACTGTGTGCATTGCAATTTGTGTAGAGTGATATTTCCATCTGAAATATCTCTTAATAATGCTTTAAATACATTCAGAACGTGTAACATTTGCCCCAACATTATTCAACCCACAGAGGCTTGCTCTGATAAGCTTCGCAAACTGAACAGCTTGTGCTCACTCACAGTTTAAATTTCAAATGATTGAGATACCGACTGGCTGAGGAAAGTTCAGTAAAGCTCTGTCTGGTGGGAGTGACGGGGCCAGACAAGGGCAGCGGCATCAGGAGCGCCTGGGAGGCAGAAGAAAAGATCCTCCAGATGGTTGTGAATGAGGGGGAGTGAGCGGTGGAGTGTGAGCGCTGCTGGGACACAGGACAGGGCTTGATCAAGCCTGGCAGGGTCACCTGGGCGCAGTAGGAAGTCTGATGCTGAAAGCCCCCATAGTGTGGAACTCCACCAGTCTTACACATCTAAGTTTGTTTACAAGTTTTAGGGGAGTAGTGCTGCACATTTGGGGGGGGGGCAGCAGTAACTTTTTTGTGCTATGATAAATTGCCTCAAGTGATGTTACTTGAAGCAGCTTCTGTTGGGACTGAAGTGTACAAGTTTGACAATAAAAGAAAAAAATAAAAACATTTGGGGCTGTGGTGTTAGCGAAGAAGTGGTTACCAGACCTCATCTTTGCCCGAGGCTGGCGGCTCAAGGCTACATTAGTTGCTCCTTGCAGAACACACTTGAATCTCAGACCATCAGAGGTCAGGCTGCATTGTGGGTAACACTGCTGCCATGTTTTAACAACAATGTGTGTAATAAAAAAAAGACAATATGTCTGGATTCCTGCTTGAGGGATAGTGCTACTAAGAATTATGACTGGAGTATTTTTTGAGAGGAGACTAGCAGCATGGCTGTTGGTAATTATTGATCTACAGTGACAGATAAGAAACAAAATAGACTTAAAATACCTTAATTATTCAGTTGCTAAAATCTGGAATCATTTTTATATAATTTGATCCTTCTGACAGTGCAAAGATTATTTATTTTGCAGAAAATATATTTTTGAAATCTCAAAAATTTGATTAAAAGGCTAATATTAACTTCAAGTCTGTTGTTGACAAAGTACGCTGAGATATGTTATTGTATTTTCAGTGTTTCACTTCGTCATCTTTCCCAAGACGTACCCGCTGTTCCTGACAGGAGACAAAGGTCTGAAACCCCGGCGCCACTCCGAAGCCCAGCTGGTCTATGAACGGCGGCTCATCCTGGGTGTGGATCTGAACTTTGATCCCTGCTTCAAACGATGTCTCGTCTGTTGACAAGAAGAGGTCAGGACATTTACAACAGGGACGATTTGTATGCACACACTGGCCTACAGGATCTAACCAGCAGCAGTTGTCTCTAATCAAATGGAGACGAAGCTTTGAAGTGCGAATATGTTTCAGCCATCTAAAAAACAGGCTGAAGAATGAACAATTAAAGAACAACACAAACAAACAAATGACAAATTGAAAAACTTTTTTGTTTCAGCTGGAAAGAAGCATTCATAGGGACCGACTGCTTCCCCATAAGTTAAACCTGTAGTCTTCAATAGACGACAAACACAGTGTGGTCTTTCGGGAGTTTATAATGAATGAGGAGTGGAAGGATGAACTTCACAAATAGACCAGCTGATGACAATACATGCCCCACAGGAGTCTCACATGCTATAAGAGGGAAATGTGAATGAATAAAAAAATTAATAAATAAAAGATGGTGAGGAAAAAGGAAAATCAATACAGCTGACAGCTTCCTTTGCTACAGCACTCTGCTGTATGGATTTTACATGAAGCAGATGGGCCTCTTTGATACTGATATCAGGGGATCATCACGATGACATGGTGACTCAAACCTACACTTGTGCAAATATCTATCTATCACATTTACAGAGACCTGGAACTGCTTATCTTGGTGATAGCAGGTTGGATTTAAGAGACTTAGCTCTTTTTTTTGAGTGCTGGATCGGGGATAAAGTACCATGTCTGCTTCCTGCCTTCTTGTCTTCCAGATAGTCGCTCGGTATCATCTTCTAAGTGCCAGGATTCTCTCACCATTTTCAATTAAAGAGCTCAAAGATGCAGCTGGAATTCAGCAGGAGAGCTCTGACAAGGAGTGACAGACTTTAACTGTTACACAGTGCTTTTCTGAGGCCTGATACAAATCCATTTTATGCTGCTGCCAAGACAAATGCTTGAAGCCTGGAGCAGCGCATACACATGCAGTAAGTAGTGCTCACACTGCTGCTCGCAAAAGTTTATGTCATCTTTAAGTCATGGCCATCTGCCGTCCTTATACAGCTGAATTAACTGAGTAAGAACTGAACCTTGGGATGAAATGAAACATTTACCAAATGTGACACTATACAAGCATTTTTAATTGCCTTAAAGATATTTCATAGACCATGCTTTCATGTGAAATAACTCCAGGTATGTGACAATTATACACAGAATTTCTTCGCACAGACGTTGATATAATCGGGAGTGGTTGACAAAAAAATCACGACCTTGTCAGTTATTTGTATGAAAAATGATTTTCACAGCCGCCAACACACACATTTTCCCACTCTTGTGAGTACACGATGCTTACTAATACAGGACATGTTGCGTGGTTTGGTTAGGATTTTATTTTTGGTGCCCTCATTTCCTCCCACAGTCCACAGACATGCAGGTCAGGTGAAGCTGAAACTCTAAATTGATATGCTGTCCCAGTAGTAACCCGCCTCTTGCCTAATGCCTGCTGGGATAAGCTTCAGAATGTATGAATTTACCTGCATTAGATAACAAAACGGCAAAGTAAACATTTATTTTTTTAAAGACAGGTAGCACAAACACACTTGTCAAGTAGAATATTCCACCAAAAAAAGTAAGACTGTTAGGTTTCAAATTATATAAAAAAACAGATAAAGGTGGGATTTATAGACAACAGCAGCTTCACCAAGATCACAGTTAAAGTGTTTTGCATATGAAATGAAATGAAAATGAATGAAAATGAAATGAAAAATGAAATGAATGAAAGAATGAAATGAAATGAAAAATACTTTATTTATCCCAGAAGGGAAATTCAATCTTGTAAAAGCTCACTTTAAAAAAAAAAAAAAAAGTATTTATTTTTTAATCAATATAACATATATTCTATATAAAAACAACAACAACAACAACAACAACAACAACAACAATCATTCAGTCAGTATATACTTTGCAACATGTGGATTTGGAATCACTACTTTTTGTGGTAGCTGTGGGGACAGTTTTCTCCATGTTTCAGCCAGCGGAGCTTTCAGGGCTGACATCATTTCCCCCATGGTTGCGTATAAGAGCTCTCTGGGATTTAGGTCAAGCCTCTAGAGAGAGATTCTACGACTTTACTTTCCTCCTGGGCAAAATATTCCTTCAACAGGGAGCCGATCCTGCTGAAAGATCCACTTATGTCACTTGAATCATTTATATCTGATTTCTTTAAGTCTGCAGCCAAGTTCCTCTGCGTAACTCACAGTTCAGGATTCTATCAGTGCAAGTTCACCCACACCTTTGTAGGGAAAACACCTCCATGTTTTTCTGTAGCTTCAGTGCAGTGCTGGAATGCTTCCTCTGGCTGTCTCCACAAAAACTTTCTACCATCAGATCCGGTGGGCTGAATTTAGACTCATCTGAAAATAATGCACATCTCCAAAAGCTGGTAAGTCTTTTTGTGCATGCTCTTATGCAAATGTCATTCTGACTGTCTTATTCTTTGAGCCTATGAATGGTTTCTGCTGGATCACTCTCCCTTTGTACTCATACTTGCTGATCCTAATGAACTGAACTGTATCTTGTGATTCTAGCTGATCCGTGCAGCGACCCTCACTGATGTTTCTCATCTGTTTGCCTCGATTTTACTCACAAGTATGTGGTCCAATCTGCTACTGGTCTTGCACTGTCTGTGCAACTTGTTTTTTTTTTCCATTTTTACTGTTGAGGATGGAAAACTGAGTTTTTGCTGATCCGGTGACCTTCTTTGTGCAGATGACACTTGACCTTTTCACTGAACTCACTTCAGTTGTCTTTGCAATGGACAAAGTCCAATACTTTTTTTGTTGCTATTTAGGGAAGTATGTTCATGCCTTCCCAAGTAACAACCTGATATATTGATTTTGGCATAAAAATATTTGTTCAGAGCTTTGCTAGATGTGTTTTTTTTTAGGATCAAATACCACTTTATCTGACATTTTATGGAATAACTTTCTGAACGTCATGTAAGCTGCCGATTCTTCCGCTGTCCAGATACTTTTTGAGGCCACAGTATGTATGAATAATAGATGGGCTGGATATCCAAGATGTTTTTCACTGGCAGCAAGATTTAAAATCTTACTTATCTCATCATTTATTTGTGTATGCACAGTTTCAAGCTTCAACCATGTGAACACTATTTCTATGGATAAAGTCCAAATGATCAGCTTATTTTTTTCTCCAGTGGTACATTGGCGTAATCATCCCTGAAAACATGAATTTCCTTTTTTATCTACAAAAAAAGATATAATAAATGGGAAAGGATTGGTGGTTCAATCCCCAGTTTTTCTACGCCCAGGCAGAAATTGGCAAGCAAAAATTGCAAAGCATTTTGTTCGCTAAGCTAGAAAGTCTCTATATAAGAGCAGTTCATTTAGTCTCTCTCAGAGTGAAATTCTGCCACTGATGCAGTTATGTTTTTAAGTTTTTTTTTCTAGTACTGCGTCTCTGAGCACTTGCCAGGGGTATTTTCTGTTATGCTGAAAACGTTAAAAAAGTGCACCAATTAAAAAGTGAATAAGAGCAAATTTGTAGTCTGTGAATCGCACTGATGTTTTTCTGTGTATATTTTGCATTCTGCAAATCTTTGACCATCGAGTGAAGTGAATTTACTGTCAATCCCCTCTTATCTTTATTTAGCTTTGGACAAGTGTCAAAGCAAACTGTTTGGCTAAACACTTTATTTACAACTGTGGGGATCTTGGTTTCTTAGCTATGAAACATTAATGGAGAGAAAGCTTCAACATATTACAGTCTACAGGGTAACAGCAGATAAGCGTTTTAAGTCCAAAATGTTGCATGGCTGGGAGACCTTGACAAACTGTGCACCCCACTGCTCTTGGAGAGGTTGAAGAACACGTGTAACACAGAACAACAATAATACCAATGCAGGAGCACGTACCAAATGATACATAAATCATTTACTGGGAAGCTTTCCCAAACACCTGCTCCTGTAAATTCATTACCTGTCACGTTTTTTTTTTTTTTTTTTGTCTGTCTTATATGCTGCCTATATTAAGGTGCGCTGGAAGGTGGTTGACCAAATTTGGCATTCTGGGGGCGTTTCTTTATCTAAATGTAAATGTATAAGAAGATGGCTGTAGAAGAAGTCAGATTCAATACTGATCACTGCGTAAAGATGCAGATGTACGTGTTTGATGAATGAAGCCCTGTGTGTTTGAACTGGCACATTATGCATTCCTGGGCATCCAGCCAGAATATACAAACAGGTAATAAATGTCTTTATAACAGGACTAATCAATGAATCATTCTGCATCATTTGGGCTTTAACAACATAAACAAAAGTGCTGATATTATGGGAACCTGTGCCTGACAACAGTGCTTTGTTTTTCTCATTCCCACTGACTTCTATTAGTTTCACTTTAAGTCGGACATTAAAAAGGTAATCATGAGCTTTGATTAAAAACACACAATATATTGAATATTCCAAACCAATCCCTTTGAAAAACACAAAGCTTATCAATTTACTGCACAAATCACTGACAATAATGTAAACGATCCTAAATGTGAGCAGTTAAAAGTGTGTGAATACAATTTATCACTCTGTATATATTGCAGTTATTGCATCCTTAGATTTTCGCCATTCCTCTTGTAAATTATTTATCACCCTTATATAAAGAGCATTTAATATTAATATAATTAAATCATTTAGGCTCGGAATAGATGTAGCTTATATTTAAATTTTGCAGTATAGTTCATAGCTTTCTGCTTTGCGCTTCATGTTGAATAAAGATCATAAGTACACTGTTTCTGTGACCATAATGAACTGTCTCTTTACATTTATTTCCCAGTGCCCATAAAATATTAACACAAACACACAGAAGCATATGCAGCTGCATAAAAATCAGTGTTTCAGGGCTCCCTGAAGTAACACTGAGGAGGACTCAACTGATGAGAGGCTGACCCTGAGCGGAAGAGGCCAGCAGCCTCCATTGATTTCATATCTACCAAATGGTTCTGCTCTTATTTGATTCATGTGGCCTTGAGGCCTAACTGACAAGCGCTACAATTATATGACAATGAAATAAAATTTCCCTGATCAATATCCATCTATCTTTATACAGATTAGTCGATAATGTCTCAGGGACACAGTAGGTGCACTTTAAATGATGAGCGTGTACGTTGAAGGACCATCAATCACAATTAATAAAAGCGTGGAGAACATTGCTGAACGAGAAGTCGTCCCATTCGGGGCATAAATTTTACAGATAAAACTAATTTTCTGACCTGTTTGGTCTAAAGTCAGCACCAGTTCGCTGTACTAAATGGGTTTATGGTTTTACAATTACATCAAAAGGGCTCACAGTGAGTGCAATATAGCAAAGTCCCTATCTTAAGGATTAGAAGGGATTCCCAGGTTTTCCCCCCTGATATTTCTCAGAGCATCAACACTGAAAATAACTGGCTGCTGTGGTGATTAATTGATTACAAAAATCTCTTTTTAGCCCAAGTCCTCGTTTGAGGGAAAACATAATTACCATTTTTGTCGTTTCAGCTGAGATTTTCAAAACTGAGGATGAGATGTTTCATGTGACGTGTCCTGCAGGTGAGCTTACCGGTCTCTCCCCACACTGGCAAGTACTCATCCTGCTGGATATCCAGCATCAGCTCCAGGCCGTTACCCGTTCCACCCTTCATCGTCACCAGCAGGGGTCGTCCATCTTGGCCTGAATTGAACGTGTAGCATTTTCCGTAGCGAGTGAAGATCTGAAATACACATAAGAGAAGGATTTTGTGATAACTACAAACAGCGGTTCAGCCTAACTCTCTGTGACCCCAGAATAAAATCTCATTTCCCAGCCATGCGAATTTACTCTAAAGAAGTAAAGAGGTAAAGGCAAGGAGGGGATTGTTTCAAAGCAGCTGAAAGCACCTACTGCAACCTGTTCTTGTTACACTGACAGCCACAGACCTCGGAGGGCTAAGTGCTGTGACGCTGCTGACAAACGCAGCCCTCGGTCCTCTCAGTGCTGCATGAGACAGCGTGTGCTTGAGTAAATATGACATGACTTTTATTTCAGAGTGGGATATCCTTTGCCTGCGAAATCTCACACTCGACAACAATGAAGGCTGCCACCGAAGTTAATCTTGCAGCAGTGAATGAGGTTATTTTTGTTCTCAGTTTTGAGACGACAGTTGAAAAGATCTGTTGATAATCAATACAGTGGTGGACAGAAACATTTAACGTTGTCAGCTTTTCAATTGTGAGAATGCTGCTGCCTGTTTTGGCTATATGTGGCAATTAATTGAATATTTGTGGGTTCTATCTCATCAGATACACTGAAATCAGAAAATATGGAGCCACATACTTGAAAGAAAATCTCAGAAATAAAGAAAAAAAATAGAGGAATTATACAACTACACTCCAGAAGTTGACAAAAATAAATGTTTTGATTTGTCCTACCATCCAACATATCTTCACTTTTGAGAAAATGGAACCGGGCAAATTTCCAGGTGATTGACTGAATAACTGAGGAATCCAACAATAATTACTCCTTTTCTCTTTCAACTGGATTCAAAGCATCTTGTAAAAAGATTTTTTTTTTTTTTAAAGAGAGAGAATTAAGCAAACTCAACATGCTACATTTTAGCTTCTACATACATCTGCAGATGAAATGGAGTGGAGCTTTAAAAACACGATGAAAACAAAACTAACTATACCTTCCCTGAAACCACATGTGAAGAGTGAGATGTGTCATTAGTTGATCACATAGATACTGTGCAGCAACATTTACTGGAGAGCCTCTATAGTGCACAGCAGGAAACTATAACCTATCGGCAAAGACATGATTGCCAGTGAACTAATGGATGTGTAATCGAATCATAAACATTAGGAAATGGAAAGTCATGGCCAGAATCCAAAATAAAATGTCCCTCTACTTTGCTGTCAAGCCGCATGATTCCGAGCCCTGTATCAAAGCATGCTAGCTCACAATTAACTTATTATTAACCTTCAACATTTTGACATTTATATGAGGAAGCAGTAATAGAAAATACGGGAGGGGTTTGCAGAGAAGAGACAACACAAGCAGGGAACCAATAGCTGAAATAGCTCTTTTCTTTTTTTCCATCCTCCATTCTTAGTCCAAATACTGTACTCTCAACATACAGTGAGATAAGGATTCAGAAGAAGATAGTGGTGCAAATAACTACATCACGACACAGATAATTTGTACAACAGGCTTTTTTTTTCTCCCCTCATGTCGCTGCTTTCTTTTTTTCTTGTGAATATATTGTAAGGACCTTGGAAACAAATAAGAAGGCGTTTATTACATGGATGAGTTATGAGTCAGACATTAGCGCTTTATGACAAATTACTCAAATGTCACAAACACCAGATGCACAGAGCAGAAAAAAAAGCCATGTCTCACAAAGGAAAAGTTAGCATAACGTGAATTCCGATCAGTGATGTGTGTGGAAGAGACTGGAGTGGGAATCACAATGGATGAACTCCCAAGACACGGTTATATAGGAGCTTTTAAGCCACAAAGCGGTGAAATGTAATAAAACGTCTTCTGATAATCGGACACAATATGAGATGTGACCTTTCAAATGCCTAAGTGGCAAAAGTGAGTCAAAACTCATTCCTGCAATGCCTGTGTGTGTGCACAGACTCCAAAGGAGGAAACAAACATCAATAAAATGCCCCTGAAATCTATCTTAGTCCCTGAGTTGCCTCTCACCATGATGAGATCACAGATTATAATTACTGCTCAGAATATAAATTCAGAGAAATCTCACAGTATGACAGCGCCACCTCCATCTGCACCTCAACATATCTGACAAGAACAACGGACAAAACCTGCCGAAAAAAAGATGTTTGCTTTCAGTTTGACACCTTTATGAGCACAGATTCTAACCAGGAGGCCTCTCCACTTTGAAACAAGCTGCTAATTTGTTAGGCCAATTTCTTTCCAAGGTTTTCTCATTAAAGTACACTAAGACCAATTTTTCTTTTTCAGAAGACAAGTTTGAACAAAGGAAGAGGTGCGGCTGCACGCACTGAAAAGAAAAGAAGTGCTTGGCTGATACACATCAAGAAAACAGTGATAGGGTTGTGTGTTGCGTCTGTTTGTCGTTGCGCCTGAGTGTGCACGCACATTCGTACAGGAACGACAATGTTCACATGGGAAGAGTGTGTACAGTATTTTGCGTGCATGTGTGCAGCCATCCCTCTGTGCCATCTGCGTGTATGCGTTGGTAATGTGGTGATTGACTACAGGAGGCCTGTAGTCAGAGTTGCTGTGGTAACCAGGAGATTGTGCCGGCTGCATTGAGTGAAGAGCAGCAGCAGTGGGTGCTGGTGGTGACCTTGGGGAGTCAGGATCTTCATTGTGTTCTTTAGCTCTGAGGTTTGTGTTCAGTCTTAACATGCTTCTCCGTTTCTGTCTATCAGAAAAAGACGTTGATCTTGTTGGCAGTGCTAAATTTGTCGAACACATTCCTAACAATTTAGCATGAGCTGTGTACCTTTATGGGAAAAGTGCAACCTTTTGCCTTAGGCACAAGCTTGTTAATGACATTAAAGAAAACCACAACATTTGCATATTCTAAATGAGGAGGAGGGATAAGGCCAGTGGTTCTTCACAGCGACGGCAACTGGTAGAAAGTTGTTGTTATTAATCTTATTGCTTCAATATATTTAGCATTAAGGGTGAGCAAATATTTGCCATGCCTAAGCAGCTTTTCTTGATGAGGTAAATCCTGCATCGCATTCCGTATTTGCACCACTGAGCCATGAGCCCTATACATTGCATTTGAAATGAGAACCACTGTATCTTGTTAGCTTGTAAACACGGTAAATAAATATTTAAATCAAGCCCACCTATGAGGAAAAACACTGAGAGAGACATCACTCTCTCTCCTTCTCGCAGGGTGTAGAAATGTCATCGTCTTTCTCTTCGATAAATAATTCACAGACAGACAGCCTGAGACTGTTGAGATGGCCCTCGGCTATCCTTCACATGACAATGTGACAAGGATGCACAAGCTGTTCCCTAAAGTTGCCAGGGAACCACTTTCCATCCCCTCCATTGAATTCAAGATCAGCGTGGAGCACAAATACAGAATATGTTATGACAGCAACAATAGCACACACCTATAAGCGATTGTCTGGACTGAACTTCACGCAGGTAAAAATTTGATTTGCTGATACTATCAGGGTGTTATATGTCATTAATTTATGGTCAACAGATGCAGCGAATAACAAGTAGATGATGAAATGTAGCAATTTAATTTCTAGCGAATCTATTTTCAGTTGCTGTGCTTTATCTGTATGAGAGGGGAGTGTTGCAAAATACAAGGAACATCTTCCAATCTAATGCAATCTAATACAACACTACAGACAAAGTGTACCACGAATATGAATCAACACTTTTAAAGCTTCAATAAAGAGTGAACATCAGCTTCTCAAAAACAATCTCACCTCGGTTTCTATTCAGTTTGGAGCCAGCATGCTAATTAGACATTCCTCATCAGAGCACGAAAACAGAAAAGCAACCTAATGGATGTAGGGGATGAGACTGTTTTCTTAACTACTGTTTCCAAGGTCAAGAATAAACTCTGAACTTCAACTCTCAGTCACAGCAACACGGGTGAGACGCCCTAGAGGTGCTCAGGATCGAGGAAAGTTTCAGCACCTACAGCACCATGGCAACTGATCAAACTCTGCGTGCTGAGGGAGACGTCGTGATATGAAAGCTTCACAGGATCTACTAAATGCACCTTGATGTGATACCGTGTCACTTTTACAAGTGTTATTCTGTCCACCAGTTCCAAAATGCCTCTGGCGACTTGTCAGGGAGCAGGTGTGAGTTAAACGTGTAGGCAGAGAGAGCTGAAATCATAGCGGGAGCACACGCAGAGTTTTCCAAGAAGAGTCAAAGGAGTCATCGCATTGCCTTCTGGACAGGCCCGCGTGATAACATTGTTCAATACTGCGATGACGAATACTGAAGTGGGCATATTAGCTATACAGCTCCTAGGTTTTTTCTTCTTTAATAGGTGCACTACTACCATAGATCCCAAACACTGACTAGCCTGCGTCCTCTGAATAAAGAAATAAAATGAATTATTTTCAACATCCATTTATTCAACAAATTACGCATGAAACCCAACCAATTAAAGAGAACATTATTTTAAAAAGACATTCTAACTATGATAAATTAAAGTTTCATTTCCCCTGCTGCTCCCTTTAAACGATTTTCTTCTAAACTCAACAAAAACATCTCTTGACATTTTCTCTCGCAGTTGCCACATAAATTAAAACCACTTAATCTTAGGGTAGTTAATGGCTAGCTGTGGTTTCACCTGACTGCTGTGAATGCTTGGCCCATGTAACCAGAGCTTCATCTGATGAGTGTGAATGTACGGTGTGTGGAAACATAATGATTTTTCTTATTCATTGCATGTCAGGCAGTCTTATGCAATGTAGTTTTTGTGCATGTTGATATTGCAATTATAACAAATACGATTTATCAGTCAGCCCTATGTCTGGACTAATGATGCCACAGTTAGTGTTGTGCATAGGAATATAAAAGGTCACTAGCAGCAACAGACTGTTTCGGTTTAACTGCCTGCAACTTTGTTGTTTTTGGCTCATTGTCAATGCTCTCATCAGCATCACTTCAAGATGCAACAGGGATCTGTTTTCAGCAAAAAGCTGAACATAAAAACAAACAAACAAAAGAAAAGGCTCTAAATTGATC